AGAAATAAAGGAACTAACAGGTGTTATGACACAAATGGGCTTAACAGACACCTATAGAACATTTCACGCACAAACAAAAGAATATACCTTCTTCTCAGCACTTCATGATCATTCTCTAAAATTGACCATATACTTGGTAACAAAGAAAACCTCAACAGACACAAAAAATTGGAATAACCCCCCTGTATTTTATTGGATCATCATGGCTTGAAGTTAGAATTGAAAACAACACTAACTGCAGAAAGCTGACAACCTCATGGAAGTTGAAAAATGCACAACTGAATCACCACTGGGTCAAGGAAGAAATAAAGAAAGAAATTAAAGACTTCCTAAAATTCAATAACATGACTACACAACATACCCAAACTTTTGGGACACAATGGAATCAATGCTAAGAGGAAAGTTCATAGCACTAAATACCTACATAAAGAAACTGGAAAGAATCCCACACTAGTCAATTAAAAGCTCTAGAGCAAAAAGAAGCAAACTCACCTAGGATGAGTAGACAACAAGAAATAATTAAATTGAGGGATGAAAGAGTCAATGAGACAAAGAGTTGGTTCTTCAAGAAAATCAACAAAACAGACAACAAATCTCTATCCAAACTAACTAAAGAGTAGAGAAAAAATATCCAAATAAACAAAATTAGAAATGAAAAAAAGAATATAACAAGACACTGAGGAAATCCAGAGAATCATCAGGTATACTTTAAAAACCTGTATTCCACAAAATTGAAAAACTTAAGGGAAATGGACAAATTTTGAATAAGTAAGACATACCAAAATTAAATCAAGACCAGATAAACAAATTAAATAGACCTATAAGCTCTATGGAAATACAAAGACATCAAAATTCCCTCCCAAAAGAAAAAAATTCCCTCCCACAGGACCAGATTGATGGTTTCAGCATAGAATTCTACCAGAATTTCAAAGAAGATCTAATACCAATACTCCTCAAAATGTTACATGTAATAGAAACAGAAGAAACATTGCCAAACTCCTTTTATGAGGCCACAGTTACCCTGATACACAAACCACACAAACACAGCTAAGATAGAGAATTACAGACAAATCTCCTTCATGAACATTGATGCAAAAATACCTGATAAAATATTGGCAAACTGGATCCAAGAACACATAAGAAAAATCATCCAACATGACTAAGTAGGCTTCATCCCAGAGAAGTTCTAGCTAGAGCAATAAGACACAAAAATGGTTCAAAGAGATCAAGGAGATACAGATTGGAAAGGAAGAAGTCAAACTATCATTATTTGCTGATGATATTATAGTTTACATAAATGATCCAAAAATTCTACCAGCTGATAAACATCTTCAGTAATGTAGCAGGATACAAATTTAACTAAAAAATCAGTGGTCTTCTTATATACAGATGATAAATGGGCTGAGAAAGAAATCAGAGAAGCATCACCATTTACAATAGCCACAAATAACATAAAATATCTTGGGGTAACTCTAACCAAACAAGTGAAAGATCTGTATGACAAGAACTTTAAGTCTTTTGAAGAAAGAAATTGAAAAAGACACCAGAAAAATGGAAAGATCTCCCATGCTCTTGGATAGGTAGGATTAACAGAGTAAAAATGGCAATCTTACCAAAAGAAATCTACAGATTAAATGGAATTCCCATCAATATCCCAGAAAAGTCCTTTACTGACCTTGGAAGAACAACACTCAATTTCATATAGAAAAACAAAAACCCAGGATAGCCAAAACAATCCTGTGCAATAAAGGAACTTCTGGTGGCATCACTATACCTGACTTCAAACTCTACTATAGAGCCATAGTAATGAAAATAGCTTGGTATTAGTATAAAAACAGACAGATGGACCAATGGAATCAAATTGAAGACCCTGATATCAACCCACACACTTATGAATACCTGATTTTTGACAAAGAAGCTAAAATTATAAAATAGAAAAAAATAAAGCATGTTCAACAAATGGTGCTGGCATAACTGGATTTCGACATGTAGAAGAAAGAAAATAGATACATATCTATCACCATGCATAAAACTCAAGTCCAAATGGATCAAAGACCTCAACAAAATCCTACTTACTGAACCTGATAGAAAAGAAAGTGGGAAGTAGCCTTGAACACATAGGCACAGGAAACCATTTCCTGAATAGAACACCAATAGCACAGACACTGAGACCGACAATGAATAAATGGATCTCCTGAAACTGAGAAATTTCAGTAAAGCAAAGAACATGGTCAAGAAGACAAAATGGCAGCAGAAAAAGATCTTTACCAACCCCACATCTGACACGGTATTGATCTCCAAAATACACAAAGAACTAAAGAAACTAGACATCAAAACACCAAATAATCCAATAAAAAATGGGGTACAGATCTAAACAGAGAACTCTCAACAGAGGAGTCTCAAATAGCCAAAAGACACTTAAGAAAATGTTCAACATCCTTAGTAATCAGAGAAATGCAAATCAAAACAGTTCTGAGGTACCATCTTACACAGGCCAAAATGACTAAAATCAAAAACACCAATGATAGCTTATGCTCTTGAGATGTGGAGAAAGGGGAACACTCTTCCATTGCTGGTGGGAATGCAAACTTGTACAGCCACTTTGCAAATCAGTTTGGCATTTTCCTAGAAAATAAGGACGATGGGATATTGATGAATGCAAAGCATTGATAAATTTCAAATTTGTCACATGGCAGATAGCCAGATGTAAATATTTAGATGACATTTGTACCATTCATCTGACATTTTGGAAGAGATACTGAAAGGACAGAGAGAAAACTAGAAGATTCAAGATTGGGCTAGAAGTTGGTGCTGCCCATGAAAGAACAGTGCTTACTTTACAGGTAAAGCCTCACACCTCAGTTCTCGAAGAATCCAGCTTCCCTTGCAAACCCTCCTGAATAGGGTTTTCCAAATTCTGTTCCATTCCCAGCCCATGGCTGATAATAAGATAACATGAAAAGATGGAACTTCATTCTAATTGGTCATTGACTGACTAGTGCTCTACAACTAATGTGTGCACCAGATTTCTTTGGGGGGGGATTTTGTGTTGGGAAACCAGTAGACTGTTGAAATTGCTTGTAGATATTCCAGCTAGAACCCCAAAGCCACTTCAGGCTTACATCATGTGAAAACAATGAATACATGTAGTCAGTTTTAAAAAACTGAGGAATAATGTGGCTAGAGATGCCATCTGAGAGATTCCTCTGATTCTTGATCCTGCTGAGCCAGGATTGCACTTTAGTACTTGTATGAAAATTGTTTCCCTAACTTTGAAAGTAATTCTTGGGCTGAATGGAGTGTAATCAGATGAGTCTTGAATAAAAAAGCATATTCTGAGAGGGATGTCAGGACTCAAAGAAGAAGTTGGTGGCTACTGAGTGGTAAAATAGTTTGTCAGCCATGATTAGGAACAGTCTGCAATTTTCCTCCAGCACAATGGCTTGTGAATGAAAAATTCATAATAAAATCACTTTATTGCAGCCAACATGCCACTCACATTTATATTGAAATGGTTATGGTAAAGTGTATGCTGCACAGAGATGGTGTGTGTGTGTGCGTGTGTGTGTGTGTGTGTGCGTGCGTGCACGTGTGCACATGCTTGCGTGTATAGGGCATGCCCTGCCTGATGGCAATGATGCTGAAACACCTGGTCCAGAGAAATCAAAGTTCACCTCAGTGAAAAGGCAGCACTGTCCCAAGTTTCATTTCAGTTCATTTCTTCCTCTTCCACCTCCTCTTCTAATCTTTTTGCTTTCTTCCTTTTTCTTTTTCATTTTTTTTTGAGACATCAACTCACAGAGCACAAACTAGCCTTGGACCATCATCATCCCTGAGGATAACCTCAAACACCCGACCTTGGTCTGGCCTGAGCCACCACACCATATTTTAGGTTCTCATTTCTTATCTCTAGCCTGACAGTTGGACACTGTCTGTCTGGACGTCTACAGTTTTTTCACTTATGCCTTCACACTGTCCCACCTTAGTCCTTCTGAGTTGCAATGACAACACCATAAACTAAGTGGTTCCTGACAACAGAAATTCATTTCCCACAATTCTGGAAGCTGGGGCAGCAGATTTGATATCCAATGAAGTCTATCTCCTGGTTCATAGTGTCAGTGTTCAGGCATCTGTACTGCCTGTCCTTGGGGTTCTGGCAGGATACGTTCTCAGCTGCAGCACCAAGAGCACCATCTGTGCACACTCAATGTTTACTTTTTAAAGGACCCTGACCACCTCCCATCTCTCTCTCTGTCTCTGTCTCTCTGTTTCTCTGTCTCTCTGATTCTCTTTCTTCTTATCCTTATTCATAAGCAATTGTCCTCCCATGTGGCAGAAGGCCTCTTCCATAAGGCCAGAAGCCCTGACTCCTAATTCTTCCACTGGTAATGAGGATGCAACATCAACATAGGAATTTGGGAGAAAGATAAATGGTGTACAGCATGTGCCAAATCCTTTAATTAACACCATCTCTTCTATTTCTTCTAGAACAAAATTGAAAAGGAGGAAGTGGAAATTAATTGGGAATGAAGATGCAGCTGTTCTCTCATTGTAAAAGCAGAGATAAAAACAGCCACTCCACATAATGTAAATACTCACCTGGAAGGAAATATAAAATACTCACCTGGGAACGCAGGAGGGCTTGTAATGTTCTGGGTGTGTTCAGTGGCATGGTTAGCCATAAATACACTAAGTATTTCAAGGCATGATCATGTGTATGTGTGTGTGTGTGTGTGTGATCACATACACATGCATACACACACATGCACACACCCGTGTGTTCTGTTAGTATGTAGGTGAGTGTGTACAGCAGAGGGGCTAGAGATGAAATGGTTCAGATGTTTATGTTAGACATCATTATAGAGCAGCTATTATCTATTACTGAACAAAATGTATTCTATGGCCTTGAGGAGTGTACACTCTGACAAAGGAAATAGACACAAAAATAATTAAGAGATAACTAGCAGGGCACTGTCCAAATGAGCAAACAACTCTGGGAATTCTGGGGGAGCCATTTATTGTCCTAATGGGAATGAGAGGTGAACAGTATTCCAGAGATTTCTGTCTTGGTCAGCATTCAAAGACAAAAGTAGAGCAGAGACCCTCCAGACAGTTCAGCCATGCTGTGGTAGGGTTCTGACTGCTCATGTGAGGGCCTATGTGGATCTCTGTTCTGCTTTGGTTGTCAGGAGGTGGGAAGGGTTGAATAAGGAGGTCAGATCCAAAAGCAGCAATGGAGCAGGGGTGCTGCAAGGATCAAAATAAAAACCAATTAAAGGAAAAGAAAAGCAAAAGCAGAAAGCTACCATCCTTAGTCCCATGTATTTCTTTTTGACATCATGGACAAAGTCAGACATGCTAAGATACATTTTCTTAAATATATACTTTGTCACTTTAAAATGATGTGTGCACACATGTGCCTGTGTGAGTATGTGCACATGAATACAGGTAAGGGAATGAGATTCCCTAGAAGTCAAGCTACAGGCAGTTGTGAGCTGCCTGATGTAGGAGATGGAAACTGAATGCAAGTCCTCTGCAAGGACCGACTATGCTGTTAGCCTCAGATGGTCCCACAGGAAACTGTCCTGAATCCAAGTACGCCCAACACTTTCTCTGAACTTCCAGTGCCGGCATGTTCTTGTACCACTGTATGCTTCCTATCGCTGCTTCCTACTGCTGGCTGCCTTTGGGGAGGCACCAAGGACAGGAGGTAACCATCTTCATGACTCCTTCCACAGATACACACCAGTGATAGGATGCTCAGCTCATGAGGAAGAAGCTTCCGTATGGGTAGAGAACAGAGGTCACGTGTTAAGACTGAATGCAGTGGAAGGACTAAAGGCTCAGCCATGCTGCTGAGCCACTAACAGAAGGGGAAGCTAATGTAAGCGGAGCCCACGTAAAGTCTACAGCATTGATGCTACACACGGAAAATGACACTGGCGATGGATTTTAAAGAATCCGTTCATGGTCAGCCCCATCACACTGCTGTAATTCACTTACTCTATTCAGGTAAGCAATAGTTGCAGGACAGTTTTGGGAAGTTGATCCCCACATGGGTCAGTGAGCTTTAGCATCCAGATTCCTCCCATTTCCTGTGTCTTGTGAGTCTGACCTTGTAGAGACAGAATTTCAAGTCACATACTTCTATACCCAGCCAGATATGAGATAAAGGGATTTTTTATAGACAAGAGCATCAATATTATTGCTGGTAACTATAGATTTTTTAAAATGGTTTTCAGAGTCAATAATACTCAGTTCAAGTGCTGCTGTACCATAATGCTTTCTCTAAGCCGGACATTACCAGAAAGGAACAGGCCTTACTGGCTCCCAATGTCTCTTCCCCTCTGCTCACATGGGCAGGTGCTAAACAGCATTAGGATCGGGAAGGAAATCTGATCATCAGACAGAAAAAAAGACCTCATCATTGTACTCACACACGCCCGCTTTCCTGGGAACTTCATCTTCCCTCAAAGGTAAAAGAGCAAAGGAGTGTTTTCTTTGAAATCAGGTTTATGTAGGAAAGGTTAGGGAACTAAAAAGAAACAGGTGTACTAAAGATGGGTAGGGTGTCTACCAGCTCTTGTAGGATGTCAAGAGTGTTGTAGACAGAATAAGGGAACTTAATTTCAGATCAAGGTCCCAGAGTTCTGGAGATTACAGGACAAGCCAACCCTCTTTTAAGGGTTGATTGTGACAAGTTTGTTTTTAATATTTTGTGTGGTGACCCATATATACTAGCATAGGACCTGGTCAGAAACCAGGTGATTTCTTCTAGAAGGAGGTGGAAGGATGAGATGTAGCCAGGAACAAGAGTGGTGTTGGATTCATCAAGTTTATGCCTACTTGAAGTCCGGGGTCTCCTATGATGTGTGTGCTGGAGGAGAGGGGAGCTACTGTATACCAGCATCTCCTGAAGTACATCAGTGGTATAAGATGGCACATGTCTCCCTAATTATGTGACTGTGTGATTGCAGGGGCCACCAAAGCTCAAGTTCACAGAGGTGATGGGAGGGGGACAAAAGATGAAGTAATTGAAATGGCTGATGGGGAGTGCTGGCAGCAGGTGTCCCTAACCCCTTTACCTTGGGTGGTCATCCTCTCCCTCTTTTCTGTTCAGACAATTATCCCTTGAGATATCCACTCCCGAAATTACTGTTTCTTTTAAATTGTGATTATCCAAGAGCTAATTATTGGCTTTTGCACCATCGGTGGCTTTTTCTTGCCTCCCTGTGTCTCTCCTGCTGGTATCCATTTCCCTGTCATTAACACTTCCACCAGAGACTAGGGACAAGCAGCAGAGAAGGCCAGGCTCCAATCAGCCCTGAAGGTTGGCAGACGCTCCATGCACAGGTTCCTGGTTGGAAGGAATTAAAGTCTGGAGTTCACTGTGACACAGTGCTACCATTCACAGGGATAACTGAGAGAGGTGGGGGTTTGCTTCCTGTCAATAGTTTCTTTTGTCATGCTGGTTGGTAGAGTGAGGTGAGTGTCATCCTCATCTGGCTAGTCCTGGGTCTCCTGGTGTCTCAACTGTTGCCAGGCATAAGGTAACATTTGTACAGGTTCAGTTTATCTATAGACTCCATTTGAAGAATGGCGCTATGCATTAAAATCTACATGCACACCTTTTCTAACCATTTGAACTCAGGTCTTTTAATATGGATGGTGGTTGTGTTTCTGCCACCTCAGCGTTCCTTTCTGCTTCAGTCATGGAAACTGCGGTTGAGTTGTGTGGAAACAGAAATAATCTCCAAGTCTTTCTGGTTTGTGTGGTTCCAAACCTCAGCCCTTAGAAGGGGATTTGTGGGCATTGAAGAGTAAGAAAAGCAGGAGGGAGATGTAGGCATGCCTTCAGTAGATTGGAAGTCAGTTGACCTCAGGAGCATCTGTGTGGTGTGTTTTGTCAAAAGAACATGAACTCTAAGCATGACCCAGAAGAAGTCATGTTACTAAGCATGGAATGCTATGTGGCCCAGGGAAAGTGAAAATGAGAATTTAGGAGTAAGCTGTACACCCCAGCATGCAGCATCCCTCTTTGTCTTTACATAAGGTCTTCAGGAGAAAATTCCTGGAAGGAACTAGGCTGATTGCCATACCATCATTTTCAAGTAATCTGTTTCCCATGCATTTCAGAGTAAATCACACTGTTGATAATTATGTAAACAGCAGAGAATCTGTTTTGAAGTATATTATCAAGGATTTAGCAGTATGTTGTGGCTTGAATAGTAACTATCTCACAGAAGCTCATGGGTTGAAAACTTGGTCCTCAATGTTCAGTGGTTGAACTTCAGACTAAATCAGTAAAGTATTGCATTCATGACCTGGTAAATCTACATGGAGTCACAGCCTAGTGGGTTTGGAGGATGAAGTTTTGTTAGAAAAGTGAGCTCTTTCTCTCTGCTTCCTGGCTGCTATGGAGTAAGTAGCTTTCCCCATTACATGCTCTGTTATGATGGACTGGAACCAGGAGCCCTCCCAAAATCTCCCTTCTTCCCTTCAAAGGGTGGCTCCCTTATCAAGTTATGAAAGGAGAAAAGGACTGAGGAAATGATTCAATGTGAGGACAAGTGTGAGGACCAGGGTAGATTCCCAGAACATATGTAAAAACTGGGTAGGTCCTTCCTGTAATCCTAGCACCTGGGAAACAAAGACTGGGTATTCCCGAGGCAAACTGGATAGCTAGACTAGCTGAATTTGGTGATCTTAAGGTCCAGGACAACCCTGCCTCAGTAAATATGGTGAAGAATGGTTGAAGAAGTTACCTAACATCAACTGCTAACCTCTATATGCATGAATGCACCACACATGAAAACATGCACACGCACGCATGCACACCACACTAACAAAATGTAAAAACTTGAGAATGTACCTTAACAAAATTTCAAAATGTATCAAAAGCCTGTAAGTGTGTGCACATACATATTTACATATCTAAATGTATATGTATTTCCCCAAATTCTATTTTAGGGATGGTTACAGTAATGTAATAATCATGAACTCATTCAAAGGTTTAATTAAATTAAAGGATGCTTCTGTGGGTAACACTGTTAATCTACTTTCCTTTTCTAAATGTTTCTTGGTGTGGTATGATTTGGTTATAGTAAAATATACAAATATTTGCTTACAGTAAAATAAAAAATCTTAAGTATTCAGTTTTCTGAGTTTCAAAACCTGTGCACATCTGTGTAACTTACATGTTTACAACACATAACATATTTCTGCCATCCCGGAATATTCCTTTCCACTCATCTTGTCCATAAATGGCCACTGTTTTTATTTTATCATCATAGTTTAGTTTTGCTTGTAAAACATATTATGTGACAGTATTAAGTGTAGATTTTTTAAAAATCTTGGGTCTGGGGGCTAGGAAGTGGCTCAATGGATCAAGTCCCTGCTGTGTAAACTTGAGGATCTGTACTCAGATCTCCAGAGCCCATGTGAAAGGCCTGGCATGACGGCAGACATCTGTAAAAAGGAGACAGAGGACCCTGGGCTCACTGGCCAGCTTGCCCAACCAATCAGAAGGCTCTGGATTCTGTGAAAAGCCTGTCTCGTAAGTAAAAAGCAGGTAGAAAAGCTGCAGAGGGAGGTATCTGACGTCAACCTCTGGAGCACACACACACACACACACACACACACACACACACACACATGCACGCACTTCATTCTCTGTGAACCATGACTCTGAGCTGCCGTAGGCTTACACCTCTAGGTCTGAAAGTCTAGGAAAGACAAAATCCAAATACTGCCTCAGGAAGGAGGAAGTGACAAGATTCTATTCCCAGACAGAAATAGCTCAAGTATCTTTGTCACCCCAAAGGAGAGAAGAGTAGAGAGAGGTGTGTGGCATCCTCTTTCCTTCTTAGAGCTCACCATTCTGGATGTTGCATCATCAGAAATGATTCTACCTGGGCCCAACATGAACAGAGGCACCAAATGCTCTTGACTCAACGTCAAGACCAGGCTATCCTGTATGTACAGAAAAACTTTTGTCAGCTCACCTTAGCCGATTTACCTCCAACCCACCCCAATTCGCCCAAATCTTTCCAAGCTTTAGAATCTGGGGAACCCTCAGGGCGGCATGGACGGGTGCTTGACCAAATGTCCTATCCAGGCCTTCCCTCACTCTGCCACTATCAGAGTAAGGAGGTCTGCATGCCCCATAAAAAGCACAGCCTCTGCTTCAATTTTGCCTTCCCCAAATCTGCACAGAGTGAACACCAAATGACCCATAATGGCCCATCAATCACTGGCAGTCATGGCATATCACTGTGTCCATATAGGTAGTGTTTGCTTTGTGTTATTTCTGCTCTTGGTCTTACGAATGATTTTTTTCTTGAGGAGAAAGAAAGAAATCATACTGTGACTCCGCTTACTCCAATAAATGGCACAGGCTGAGAAAGCTCTGCCGGTCTCTTGTGCCTTCCCTCCCAACAGACAGAGCATGATGTACACTCACCCAACTTCAACAAACAGAAAGGATTTACCACAGGCAACAAAGAGGGCCTACCTCCCATATGCCACCGTGCTTACTTTAGGAATCTGGGGAGTCGGTCCACTTTGTCAATGGTCTTGCTACAACCCTACTTCCCAAAGTCACACCAGAGAGGTGGCAGCTTTTTGATGCTGGAAGCACAATTGCAGATTCTGTGAGTGCTAACTCCCAGGGAGCATTTGAGCACGCTAAGTAGTTGGCTTAATGAAACTCCATCAAGCACAATAGAAAAAGCAATATTTTTCTTTTGTTCTTTTTATCCATTTTCACATTTTAACAAATGTTGCTTCCTGAAATGGATATTTAGACACATTCACTGCTGAAATATTCCATTATTACTCTGCCTTCTATTAGCCAGCTTATTGTATTAGTGCTCAGATCAGGGATCACTGCAAATGACATTTATTTTAGGAAATTAGGAGAGAACTCTTCAGAATTAAACAACTTAATCCGTGTTTCTGATTGCAATTCACTGTAGTCTGCATAGTTCCTAACTCCCTTGGTGACCTGCGTTTAATTCTGTCTGTGGCAGCTCTCTGCCTAGGTGGTGGTGGTTGGTGGCTGTGGCAGGGGGGTGTAGGGGCGTTTCAGAAGCCAGAACTGAC